TCAGCAACAGGAGCTTCTATATATACGCTCTGTTGCTTCCACTCCTTTAGCTCGTTCTTAGAGAGATCGAAGACCTTTTCACCTTTTGCTCCTCCTCCCGTTGCTTGTGAGATAGCTCTCCGCGCGCGCTCTCGCGCACGTAGCTCCTTTATATAGCTACGTGATATATTTGTAATCGGTTAATCGGCTGGCTAAAAACGACAGCTAGGAAAGACTAGAAGGTAAAGATGGTAAAAGGTAGTTTAAGAAACGAGTACATAGCTATAAGGTCGTAATGCCCATAGGTCTAAGTCTAATTGATGAAAATATGAGTACGAGACCTATATAAATACACATCCAAAAGGCTACGTAGCCTAGTCCTACCGCACCACTATTCTATTCGTTACCTGTAGCTCTATATTTATACTAGCGATCCTTATAGCCTTATTTTAAAATAATAATAACGGAGCCTTTAATAGCTAAAACATATCAATAGTAGCTCTGATTATCGTTATATTAATTATTAAATTTCTAAACTTTTTCGAGTACTTTAAGCTTAAGTTTTATAAACGTAACGTAACCCAATGACTAAAAAAGATGGATTCATTATTTAACCGTTATTATATAAGCGACTACGATAAGATTAAGAAAATCGGCGAATAAATTACAATTAAAATTATTAGGAAGCGTCTTAACGACGTTGTAGAATATTAACGATTTACAAAGTTATCATTATAGCCTTAAAGTATTATTTTAAGATTAACGTTAAACTAAGTTAAGTTAACGTTAAACGGAAACTCGTAGCGCTAGAACGAGGCCTTATAATTTTAAATCCTAAATAGACTTTTATTTATTTTATAGATAATAAACGTCTTTCTAAGCTCGCGAACGACGGCGAGGAGCTTTCCTGAAAAATAAAATACTTAATTAAAAAACTTTAGATATCTTTATTTATAGAGTTTAATAAACTGTGAGATTATAACTATAATAAAATCGTAAATATCGATTACTAGCTTCTATATACTTAACTTTCTAAGTAAGCGGAACGTCGTGTAATAAAATGAATCATTAATAAAAACTAAGCTAAAAAACGATGATAATAAAAAACAGCAACTTTCGAAAAACTCAAGGAGCTTATTATATAAATAATTTAACGATTAAGGATTCCTAACCTTTAAATACCTTTACTACCGCTTTTCTCGTAACTTAAACCTTTTAACGACTACTTGAATATTAATTAGGAAGTTAATATATAGGCCTTATATGACCGATTTAACGCTTTAGAAATAAGAATAACTTCATAAAACTACCGTTAAAGGAATAGCTTTTATAAACTAAGGAATACGTATAATACTAATTAATAATATTAATACGAAAGCCCATTCTTAATAAACGCGGTTCGGAACTCTTTATAACCTATAAATTAACGAAAGAACCTTAATAAACATTAATATAATATTATATTAAACTACCGAAGTATACGTAATAAAATATTATTGACTTAATTAAATAAATATAAAGAATTCTAATATTAATTGTATGATACTTTCGATCGGCTTTATAATTATATTCATTATTTGTTATTAACAGATATAACGTAAAATCGGTTTTATTACAGAAGCGGAAAGCGATTATATTACCTCGTGAACGGAAACCCAGATAAGTTAATATTAATATTAATCCTAAGAACGATTATTACGTAAGCTAAACGAAAAAAAGAATTGATCACTTATTATATTTAATTCTATATATATTAAAGTAAGAAGTCTCTAGAGTAAGTACATAGAATAGTATGTTATTACTTAAACGAAAAGCTAAAGTTTATACCTTTTAATTTACGATACTTTAAAAACGAAAAGCTAGTATTAAAGTAAGAAGAAATACCTAAAGCTATAACGGAGATTAACATTATTTAATTAATTGAGCGGGAATATAACTATGAATTATGCAAAATTAAAATCTCAAGTTATAATTAAACGAAAGATCTTATCGACGACAAAGATATTTACTATTATAAGAATATTATTAAAACGAGTTTAATTAAAATTAACGTAATTAAATAAACTAAAAATTTTAATAGTAAATGTGTTAAGAAAGAAATATTTGATTAAGAGAATATAAAAGTCTTATCGTCATAATCGAAACGAAAACTGATTAAAGATGGCAGAAATGTTGCTTTAGATACGAATGATTAATTTAAAAAAACAAAGATTATAAACAAATTATTAAAGGGGCTTTAATTAAAAAAAGGTTAACGAAAATGATAAGAAACGCTTCGAGGTTTCGTAAGGCAACATAATTAAATTTATACCTGGGTTTTCAGAATAGATAGTCGAGTATTTTACGACGCCCGCTATAAAGATTAGTAAATGTTAATTTAAACTTATTAAAATTATGAAGAAATAAATATAAAGGGATGAAAAAAAAGTATTGAAATATTTAACGTACCGTAAAGTATCGTACTGTTTACCGATTCTTCGAATAAAATATAGGCAAACTTTATTATCGCGAAAGATATTAAAAACTATATCCGGCCTTTCCCTAAATTAATAATTGACGTAGGATCTAACGGGGACAAAGCTATTATATTTACGGTAATCAATATAGGAATATAATTTAATATAATCATAAAAAGCCACTTAAAGAAGTAACGGTTTCTTATAATCGATACTTAAGCGATATAGCGAGGTTTTAAATTCTTTATAAAGACCTTATATATAGAAATAATCAATGATCTTATTTAACTTATAAATCAATACTTACGCTTACTGATTTATGTTATTAAAGATAGGTTCGTTACTTATCTTGTATTACTTAATATAAACTCTATTTTTTCGTTTTATATAAAGCTCGAGTTTGATAAAAATACCTTTATAAAAACTATTACTTTTAACATGGTTTGGATAATAATCTCTTTCGTTACCGATGTAAGAAACGACACGTTATTAAACCTTATACCTAGCGATTAGGAAAATTAAATACTATTAATACCTTAAGCTGCTTTAATAACGTATATAGGCTTAAAAACGCGTTCTTACCCGAGTATTTAAAGGCTGACGCTAACCTTTAAGTTAAAGTTAACTATATCTACTTTTATAATAATGATACGAAAATAGTACTTATCTCCAAAGCTAAGGATTTATCGGCCTTCGAACTTTATTTCGATAAAGGAAATAAAACGATCATTAAATTAAGTAACAAAAAATTCCTCTACGTCTTTAATAAAGCCGTTATAAAGGCGATTCGATATATGACGTAAGAATCGAAATAATATAAGCGAGACTAAACTTTTATTTCGGAATTAACTTATAAAGTTAAATATGCATTTTTAATTAATACTATATATAAATTAAAGTTACGTAAAGTTTAACCTATAAATAACGTATCGTTAAATAGCTAAATACCGTTAGGAATATTAAATTAAAAAGATCAAGTATTAAAAAAGGTTAATTTAAAATACAAGCCGCTAGATATATTATAATACGATAAATCTTATAAGAATATCGTATTGAGATTTATTAACATCCTTCGAAGTATTAAGTTAATAACGGAAAGGCTTAACGCTATTAAAATAAATTTATTAAATACGAAATTAACTGATTAAAAGAAAGACATACTTATTAAAATCCTATACTAAAAAAAGATAACCTTAACTTAAAATTTCTTTAAAATTAGAAAAGTCTAAGCTAAAGTTTAGTTCAATTATAAAATTAAAACGATACCTCATAACGCGTAATAAGCTAAGGGTATCCTTATTTTAATATTCTTTAAAAAGCGAATAATCTAAATCTTACGTATACGACTAAAAAACAAAATTCTTAAAAAAAGTTACGGTCCTTATCGAAATACGTATTTCGTAATCGAAGAAAAAGATACTAAATTACGACTTATTAACTTTATAATGAAACTTAATGCTTAAATTATTCGCGACGCCTTTTTATCTCAAAACGAAAACTCTTTTATATAAAAATTTGCTATATATTTAGTTCCTATAATCGTCGACTTTTTCTTAAGGTATGATTAAATAATACTAATAAAAATAAATCGTAACTTAATTACGTTCATTACTTTTATTAACCTTCTACATATAGCGACTTTATTATAACTATTTATAGCTATGATCTAGTTTGATCAGCACTAGGTAAGTTATTAGCAGTTAGATAGTCCTTATACGAGTCTCTATTACAGCGTGCCCACGTTCCCCTTGTTCAATATATAGTTTTCCTTTATAAATAAATTATAAAATATAAAAAATACATTTATAAAATAGAATAATCAGTATAATATTTTATAATATAAAATGTAAACATTTATATTTATACTATGCAATATGTAATTATAAAAAGGCTAGCTTAACTACTACTTAATATATTTTAATTAAAAAAACCCCTAATAAATATAATTTAAATAAAAAACTAATAAATAAAATATTTTTCAAATTTTATAAAAGGTTTTAATATATTATTTAATAATGTATATAATTAAATATATATTATATACTTTTAATGTATATAGGCTTCAAAATTAATGTATTTTATAGTAAATAAATAAATAGTAATTTGAATTCTTATATTCTAATATTAAATTAAGGGCCGTGACTTTGTGATGAACTTATTCTAATGACCAGGTAACTGTCACCAACTTAGTCTCTGATATCGTTACTAATGAATCCTTTACCTCGACCTCTTGTTCCGCTGCCACCTGTTAGTTCGACATAACTCTTCATTTACGATATGCCCCCTTCGAGTGCTCCAAAGCGCTCCCGTCGCGCTGCATTTGAACAAGACCTCAATGATGGAATTATCGTCTCGGATGCCAGGGCGACCTTTCATGATAAATCTGTCAGCTATAATTTTTTATTCCACCCGCAATCCGTAACCTAAAAGCATCTAATATTGTGAGATTAGCAGCGAAAGAAACCACGCATATCAGACAATTCCCTACGCAGTGAGAAATTCCCGACATCCCAACTAGACAACACCCCGAGCTCCGACGACGATGGAGCTTTGCCGGAACCGGAAATGCCGCCTAGTCCCCCTGCGGCGTCACAGTACGAGATGATGCGGGATGCAGGATTCAAGCATCTTGAATACACCGACATTGACGACCAACGAGCAACGCAACGAATCAAGAGTCGACCACATGTCCTTGGCGAAAATCAGGTGGCCCTTAACGCCATTCTCGAGAGCATTACCTGCTTCAATTTCATGTGCCATTCGAGGCTTCATGTGGATTTGGGGCCCCTACTCAACTTCATTGTAGGGGAGAATGGAAGCGGAAAGAGCGCCATCCTGACAGCTATCACTCTATGCCTAGGAGGGAAGGCTAGCGCTACGAACCGTGGCGGGAGTCTTCGAAGCTTCGTCAAGGAAGGAGAGGAGCATGCCAGCCTAGTTGTTAAGATCAAGAATCAAGGGCCCGACTCTTACAAACCAGATCAATTCGGAGAATCGATTATCGTCGAGCGACACTTCACCAAGTCCGGCTCAAGTGGGTTCAAATTGAAATCTGCCACCGGCAGGATTATCTCGAACAGGAAGGGCGATGTTGACGATGTTGTTGAATACTACTGCCTTCAAGTCGATAATCCCCTCAACGTTCTATCCCAGGACAATGCACGCCAGTTTCTGAACGCGGCGACTCCTGCCTCCAAGTACAAGTACTTCGTTCAAGGCACCCAGCTAGAACAGTTAGACCAGGATTATCAACTCCTCCAGGAGACTCTCGAAGCCAATGAGATGAGGCTTATCACATTCAAAGATGACATCGCTTTTCTTAAGGAGAAAACTGAAAAGGCTGTCAAGCTGAGAGATGCACTCACCAAAAGTGCAGATATGCGGAAACAATCGAAAGTCTACTCAAATCAATTGGCCTGGGCGCAGGTCCTCGAGCAGGAAGACGTCCTACAAGAGAAAGAAGATGCAGTGCTCGCAGCCCAAGAAGAAATCGCACGGGCAGAGGTAACAGTCGCGGAAAAATCAGAAGCCCTTGAAGTCATCGAGAACAAAGTGCGAGAAGTGGACGAAGCCATCGACATTCTTCGTCAAGAAGAAGCGCAGTTTAAGGACCAAGAGTCAGAAGCGAAGGCCAAGTATAGCAAAGCCCGAGAGTTGATGGAGCAAACCCACATGCAGGAAAGAGATATCCACTCACGGCTCACCGAGGCTTCCGGCAGGGTGAAGACATACGAGAAAATGATACGAGACGAAGAGCAGCGCCTAGAGGCAGCAAATGGCGGAGCTCATGCCGAGAAGCAGAAAGAACTATGTGACGCAAGATGTGCCGTGAAGGATATCGAAGAAGCTCAAAGTGCTCATGCCAACCGCAGCGCCGGCCTGACAACGGAACTAAACCTTGCTCAAGAGGAGGCACAAAAATCAGAGGGACTGACTAGGCAGAAACGACAGGAAGTCTCTGCGGCTGAATCCCGACTGCGAACTTTGTCTCAAAATCGTGGCGATCCGCTTGCCGGTTTTGAGCGTCAAGTGCCTCAGCTCCACAAGCTTATCGAGAGCGATGCCGGATTTTCCCAGAAGCCTATCGGCCCAATCGGCACGTTGATTCGGCTGAACAAGCCAAAGTGGTCGCCGATCCTCGAGAAGATATTAGGACAATCGCTCAACGGGTTTATAGTCTCCAATCGACCGGATCAGGTCCGGCTATTCGCCCACATGGAAAGACTAGGGATTCAGAAATGCCCCATTTTCATAATCCCGAGATCCGCGATTGCCGCGTTGAAAGAGCCCGATGACAAGTATGAGACGGTCCTGAGGGTTCTAACCTTCGACGACCTGCGGGTGCGAGATCAGTTGGTAATCAACCACATGATCGAGCAGACCATATTAATCGAGGGTCGAGAGGAGGCGGAGCGGGTCATGCTCGACGGGCGAGTACCTGAGAATGTTACCGCTTGCTTGTGTTTCCATGACAAGAAAAGAGGTCACGGTTTACGACTTACAAGCCGCGGCCAAAGCTTTTCCACCAGTCCGGTAACCCCAAATTATGACCAAAAGCCTCGCATGAAAACGGACGACGTCGAATCACAAATAAACTTCTTCAGCGATACCCTTGAACAGCTACGAACGGAATTGCGCGAGGTGGATGGGTCGAGGAGGGCTATCCAACAGTCGGCTCAACGTTGTGTCCAGGCCATGGAGCAGCACAAAAAACAGCAAGTGGCGTTAGAAACGCAACGGCGGAACGCTTCGGCGCGGGTTACCCGTATCGAGGAGGAGCTAGACAAATTCGAAGACCTCGACGGGAGACTAGAAGGTCTTAAGAACGACCTTCAAGCGGCTCGTAACCGACAAGACCATTACGGTAATCAATTTGGCGAGCTGGCCGTCCAGAAGAGAGAAATGAATAACGAGGTAGAGAGACTTAAGGAGGAGCACCACAAAACCAAGGAGGTGCTCCAAGATCACTGTGCCAAAATCGCCAAGGCTGAAGATAAGGGGAGGAGATACCAAGATACCCGACGAATAGCTCTGGTCGAGAAGAACCAAGCCTACGTAAGTCTCGACGTAGCAAAGGAAGGTAAGGTCCAAGCAGACGTGTCCAGGGATAGACAAAGTACTGTCGTCTCCGACTACATACAACAGGCAAGTGCCGTCGCTCCCGAGCGGGCTTATATCCCCGACGGGGAGAGCATCCGAAGCATCGAGAAGAAATTTGAGTCTATCAAAGAGCAACTGAGGAAGATCCGTGGGCAGCTAGGGGCATCGGACGAGGAGATCCAGAATCGAGCCTCGAGAGCTGTTCAAGAATATCGCGAGGCCAAGAGGAATCATAGGAGTCTCACGCTGCTTGTTGATGAGTTGAAAAGGGCCCTAATGGATCGGCTACGCAAGTGGAGGACCTTCCAGAGACTTATCTCGGCTCATGCGCGATGCAACTTTAACTATCTCCTCAGTGAGCGCGGCTTCAGAGGCGAGCTCCTCCTGGATCACAAGACCAAGAGGCTTCGCGTACAGGTGGAACCAGATGAGACGAGGAAGAATAACTCGGGACGGAACACCAAGACTCTATCCGGCGGAGAAAAGTCATTCTCGTCTATATGTCTTCTCCTTGCTATCTGGGACGCCATGGGCTCCCCTTTGCGATGCCTGGATGAGTTTGACGTCTTCATGGATAACGTCAACCGTGCCATCAGCACCAACATGCTAGTGAGTCTTGTCCTAAGCACATCATCCCTCACCTCTCCCGGGGACTGCATTATTAACCAGCTGGCTAGATTACCACGGCTCGGCGCTCCGTCGGCAAGCAATTCATTCTTATCACTCCCAACGCTATTGAGGGCCGAGCCAAGATTGACAAAGATGTCAAGATCATCCGGTGAGTTTCCGCCAAGGGAGCACCGTCGGATCCTGGGACTACTAACGCCGTAACAGACTGACCGACCCTCGACAACGACTTCTCGCAGACCATTGACGAAATTTCGCCCACAACCGAGGACGCGCGACAAGCCTACCAAATTAACCACATACTAGAGGACGAACAACCATCTAGAGGTTACACGCTCCACGAGCCCAAGCATCTCGAAAAACAGGGCAGTTTTTCACGGGTACCTAGAGATTCTCCAAGAGAGAAAGCAGCAGTAGAACACGCAAATTAGTAGCTGATTCAGTTGGGACACTTTTCTCGTCTGTGTGAATCAGGCTTAACCCGCGTGACAAATGGTCACCGAGCATTTTTATGTATAGCCTCCCCTCTTCCCACAACAACGGAGTAGACCTTCGCAAGGCGATAAGCCCACCAAGACCTTCGGTCCCCTCTTAACGCCGGCGGGATTTATAATAGCGCGAAGCTTCTCAAACCGAGTTGATGAATCTGATCACGGATACTGAAAATATTTGGTTTAAAACGCTCATCTCGCCTCTAATCAATATGAAGGTGGTTCGCAGCATTTGACAAGTACCATTTTAACCCTCTAACTCGACTTCCCTTCACCTATCGCTCGTACTACTCGGTTGTAGGTATGTAAAACCCGAGACCCTTTAATACGAGCGACCTATATCACCCGTGCACTTTGTCTCTGTTCGCCCGGTAGGACCGAGAAAGCTCAAATACCTAGAGGAGAGAGCGTCCATGTACCTAGGTGTCGCGGTTATCTTGTACGCCCTGGTTGGAGTCAGGCGGCAGAGGTGATCGGCCAATAGTACATGCATTACCGGGACAGCGACCTGGACGGACTGTTATTTTGAATGCGTGATGAACCTATACAATACGGACCCCATCCGGGTATTTCCAATCCTGCACAACAGGACTGTCAATGGGATTTTAAGGTCAACCCACTCAATCGGCCAACGGTGGAAATGTGCGCCCTGGCGCTGGGATATTCTCCCCACCCTGCTAGATTCGCATTTGTCGGAGAAGGGTTTGTTCCTCCACTCTCAAATGCCTGAGGCCTGTCCGGGGTGCTATGTAGAGTCAACCCCGGAACGAGTCTGGGCGATTCCAGAGTGTGTGCGTGGTGATGAAATGCTAGCAGCCTCGCGGCGACCCCTCGGATTTGTCGATCTGGGGTGATTAATGTGGGTGGCCTTCACATCACGGAACAAGGCGAATCTGAGTAGTTGGGTCCAAATATCTCCCTATTTCGTTCCCGTTCATTGGCCCGAATTTTCTCCTTGACTTCTTTTGGGAAATATTCGCGGAGGAAGGCAGCACGTTTACTATCCAAATTATCCAGCCCGGCTTGCATGAGCACCTCGGCTCGGCATAGAGGACAATATTTCTCAACCTTCCGCGACATCTTCACTAGGCACCTACTGCAGAATACATGCTGGCAATCCAGTCGAATCGGCCAGTAGGCGACGGCGAAGCAGATAGGGCAGAGATAATCATCAAGCTGCGGGACGACGGCGATGAGCTCGCTAGACATTTGCGCGCATATGTCTCTAGCTGCACTCCCCGCAAAGAGGTGGGTCGACTGAACGGTTGTCGGAAATACCCGAGAAACGCCGAGGGAAGTCCTCTTATCGAATTCTACTTATATGGTCAACGGCGGACAACATGTATTAGGTGGAAATTGGGTAGAAACAAACTCTTAAGTATTTTCGTCACAGCTAGGCTGTTCATTTCCTGAAACTTGAGCATCTGCAGCAGTAAGGCGTTCATATTGAGAAACCTGATGTAGGCCTGCCGGCTTTTGTCGAGCCGGAGCCGCTGGATGAGCTTTCTTGAAAGGACCTGGTCTTGGAACCACTGAAGTTGCATCACGGCTTGGGCACTCGTCCTTGCGCCGTGGTCGATCTCCCGAGTGGAGAAGAAGACACAGGCGTCAACATACGACACAAAGATGCCCCGCCAAATCTCCAGGTCGTCCCTTGCTTTCCGCCCTCTCGTCGGTTTCGTGGCTTTGCTAATCTCATGCCCCAAGGTCGTGATCTGGTTTACCAATTTATCCTGCTCTTCTTCCTGCAGGGCGTCTAGGTTCGAGACGTCGGTCTGCAAAATGTCGAAGAATTCGCCATCGAAGACCAAAGGTACCTCAACCCGTCGAACCGGGGATGGGTTTGATCGCAAGACAGGGGCTTCGCCGGGGTTGGAATCATCGATGGATTCGGTCATAGCGGGCGATTCTACTTGATCGGGCCAATCCGTTAGTGCCTTCGGTGCCCTTGAAGCGATCGTTTCTAAAAAGGATCTCGTTGGCGGCGTTAGTTGCGCGTCGACGGCTACCTCATCCTGGATGTGGATGAAAAAAGTCAGCTTCGGGCGAAAATGCTTGGAAGCTCCATCCTTCCCATCGAATATATAGTGGAAGCCAACGGTGGAAGGATGCTTTGCGCCGGCGGCTAATCGTGCTACAGTGTCCTTATCTAGCCCGAGCTCACAAAGCTCCTGGGTGACTTTCTTAAGGCACTTTTTAAGTTGGCGGTAAGGGACGGCAGAGTCGACCCATTTCTGAGGGAAGCCTACACATAGGGAGCAGACGCGAGTCGTTAGAAGAAGAAGCGCGGGGTGAGATCAAAGAAATATGGCATACCTCCTCGTTGGAGAGACTTCCTAAACTCTTGGGCAAACTTCATCAGTGGTCGTCAGAATCAACGGACAGATAGCGATACAGTTGGGCCGCAGGTCGAGGTTCTCCCCCCAAAAGGCCCCAAGTGCGTGGTATAGCATAAGGTAGCGAAGGGTATCGGGGCTCCATATGAACAAAGAGGCTACCTGTTAGTAGATGAATAAGAGAGCAACCGTACCGACGAGAAGTATAATAGAATCTCAAGAAAAAATACTTAGGTACATAAGCACGCAAGGAACCTATGCTAATTACCTTTAAAAAGCTTATTACGGAAAAAGCTAAGAAATTATTCAAAACTCGATATAGCTTATAATGATTTAAAATTTATGTTAAATAGTTTATTATTAGTTGCTTATACCTTAATATATAATTATAATTATCTTTTATTATATAATTGTTACGATTTTAAGAGCTATTTGCTAGATAAAAGCTGTATATTAACGATTTAAAGCTAGACGAGGAGAAAAAGAAAGGGAAAGTATACTTTATAGGCTATATTTATAATAGCTAGCCTTATCTTCTATAGGTATTAGGGTGTCACGGTTTTAAGAGCTGTTCGCTGGGTAAAAGCCGTATGTTAATAAACTAAAGCTAGACGAGGAGAAAAAGGAGAAAAAAGGTACGCCGTATAGGCCGTACTTATAATAGCTAGCCTTATCCTCTGTAGGTACTGGTTACGTGCTAAGCCCTGGTACTAGCTAGGGCCTTATAATGGATATAGCCTATTATATAAGGTCCCTTCCCGGAAAAAAAAAAAGTACGCCTTACCGCCCTTTTCTTCGGCGTCTAGCTCTAATAACTTAACCCGTTTTCCTTCCTTACGCCTTAGGATACGTACCGTATCCTTAGGTGCTACTTCCGTCCCCCGGGGTACGTTACTCGCTCCCCGGGTTACTAACTCCGCCGCTTAAGGTACTAATATATCCCTAGGCCTCCTTCTTCTTTTCCCCGGCGGTTATATTATATCCCGGGGTCTTCTTCTCCGCCGTTTCCTTCCCGGGGCCTTTCGTTTCCCGGGGTACTATACCGGGCGCCTCTAGCTCCCCGGCGCTCTTTCCCCGGGTCCTATTCTTCCCCGGGATCTCCTCCGTAGGTCTCCCGGGTTTCTTCGTTTACCGGGTACGCTTTCCCGGTAGTTACTTCCCCCGAGAGCCCCTCCTCCTCCTAGGGTACTACCGGCGTTCCGGGTACTATCTAGCTTCCCCGGTATATCATTTCCTTAGGACCGCCGTCTTCGTTTCCGTTTACCTAAGGGCTCTTCGTATTTCCGGGTACTTCGTTCGTTTCCCGGGTTACGTTATCCGCTTCCCGGGTTATTATCTTCGTTCCCCGGGGTATTACTACTTCCCGGGGGTTACTAATCCCGATCCTCTTATTAAACCGTAAAGCTTTAAAGCCTTACGTACGAAATCGCGTATAAGCGCTTATTAGGTTTAGTTTAACTTCCGTAGCTACGGGATCGTCGGTTCGTTTACCGCCGTTTAAAGACCTTTATTTATTTTCTACTAAAGGACGTACTAAAGTACGCCGTCCGATTCGTTTAAAGACTATCGTTTATCGTCCGTTAGCGGAGCTAAGGGCTCCGCCTAAAAGCGTACTAAGGCGCGCTTTCTCGTCTATTATTAAGAGGCTTAAGGCCTTTCCTATCGTTTAAAGGCTAGGGGCTTATCCTTCCGTTTAAAGGCTAGGGGCCTATCCGTATTACTAACGGAGCCGCGAGGCTCCGCCGGAGGACGTATTAAGGTACGCCGTCCCTATTCGTTTAAAGATTATCGTTTATCGTTCGCTAACGGAGTTTAAAGGGCTCCGCCTAAGGACGCGCGGAAACGCGCCTTCCCGTTTATTACTAGCGCCTTTAGCGTCCTTATCGAAGTACTATTATCCTAACTTAACCTATCGTTTCGTCGCTATTCTAACGCTATTCCTTCCTTATATTACGCCTCGGGCGTTCTTAATTCGCGCCTTAGGCGCGGTTTAACTCGTCGATAAGCGCTATACTCTAACGCTTTATTATCTTTCTCCGGAAAAAAGTTTTCCGCCGTTTTTAGCCGTATTTTTCGTCGTTCTTATCTCGAAATTACCGTCTAAACTACGTTTCCTCGGGGCTATCGGTCGTTTCTTCGGTTATCTTATCGGTCCTCGTTCGTAGGCTACTACCGGCGCGTATATCCAAAAGCTAATACCGCCTTTCCGACTATTAACTTAACCGGCGTAAACGCTAGTATCGCCTTTCCTATTACTAATCCCGCGTATTAAGATACTATCTCGTCGGTTTTCTTCGTAGGAGCCGCCGGCGCGTATATCTAAAAGCTAATACCGCCTTTCCGACTACTAACTTTACTAGCTACCGCTTCCTTTAGTACTACATCGCCGTTCCTATTACTAATTCCGCTCGTTAAAATACTAATCCGTAAAACGATAAAAGAAGATTAATCTAGCTTTTTATTACGGTTTTAAGAGCTATTCGCTAGGTAAAAGCCGTATATTAATAAACTAAAGCTAAACGAAGAAAAAAAGGAGAAAAAAAGTACGCCGTATAAGCCGTACTTATAATAGCTAGCCTTATCCTCCGTAGGTACTGGTTACGTACTAAGCCCTGGCACTAGCCAAGGCCTTACAATAGGCATAGCCCATTATATAGGGGGCTAATTACGTATTATGCCTTAGTATTAGTTAGGGCTCTATAATAATTATAGTTTATAATATAAGGTCCCTTCCTAGAAAGAAAAAAGTACGCATTACTTTTCTTTTCTTTAAGATTTAGCCTTAATAATCTAATTCGTTTTCTTTCCATGCCTTAAGATACGTACCTATATCTTTAGGTATTATTTTCGTTCCCTAAGGTACGTTAGTCGTTTCTTGGGTTACTATCTCCGCCTCTTAAGGTATTGCTATTCCCTTAGGGTTTCCTCCTTTTCCTTAGGGGTTATATTATACCTAGGGGTTTCTTTTTCTTCTTTCGTTTCTTTCTCGGAGGCCTTAATTTTCCAGGGTACGCCTTTCTTGGTATCTTATTTTTCCCGGGAAGCCTTCTTTTTATTCTCCTTTTCTTAAGGTATTATTAACGCTCCGGATATTATCTAGTCCTCTAGTATATCCTTCTTTTAAGGCTACCTTCCGTTTCCCGGAGTACGTTATTTATTCCTTAGGTTACTATTTTTATTTTCTGAGGTATTACTACTCTCTAGGGCTTTACTACTCCCCAGGGCCTTCTTTCTTTTCCTAAGGTACTACTGCCTCCTTAGGTTTCCTGATTCTCCTATTAAACTATAGAGTTCTAAAGTTCTATGTACGAAGTCGTACTTAGGCGCTTATTAGGTTTAGTTTAACTTCTATAGTTACGGGATCGTCGGTTCGTTTACCCTGTTTAAAGACCTTTGTTTATTTTCCGTTAACGGATTCTGTCAGATCCGCCAAAGGGCGTACTAGAGTACGCTGTTCTTATTCGTTTAAAGACTATCGTTTATCTTTTGTATTTATTAACAGAATTCTTCAGGCTCTGCTTAAGGACGCATTAAGTACCTCCTTCCGTTTATTATTAAAAGGTCTAAGGCCTTTACTATCATTTAAAGACTAAGAGCTTATCCGTATTACTAACGGAGCCGCAAGGCTCCGCCAAAAGGCGTATTAAGGGTACGTCGTCCTTATTCGTTTAAAGATTATCGTTTATCTATATATTATTAACGGAGTCCTTCAGGGGCTCCGCTTAAGGGCGTATTAAAGCGCGCTCTTTCGTTTATTACTAGCGCTTCTGGCACCTTTATCGATATTATTAAAAGGCCGGTAGCCTTTCTTTTCGTTAACGCCTTTAGCATCCTTATCGATATATTATTAAAAGGCTTAAGGCTTCTCCGTATTCCGCTAGCGTCTCTAGCGACCTTATTAAAGTAATATTATTCTAATTAAACTTATTATTTATTATTATTCTAACGCCTTTTCTTTTTTATATTACGCCTTAAGCGCTTTTTCCTTACGCTTTGGGCGTAGTTTAACTTTATTAAGCGTTAAACTCTAGCGCTTTGTTATCTTTCTCTTAAAAAAAGTTCTCCTTTTTTTGCTATTTATTTTGTCGATTTCGTCTTTTTTATTTCGAAATTACTATTTAAATTACGTTTTCTCAGGTTTATTAGTCGTTTCTTTGGTTATCTTCTATCGATCCTTTCTCGTAGTTATTACCGGCGCGTATATCTAAAAGTTAATACCGTTTTTCTAACTATTAATTTAACTAATTACCTCTTCCTTAAGTACTAGTATCGCCTTTCTTATTATTACTCTCACATATTAAAATACCCGTTTGATATTATCTTTTATTGATCCTTTCTCGTAGGTATTACCGGCGCGTATATCTAAAAGCTAATATCGTTTTTCTGATTATTAACTTATTATTGCTTTCGTAAGGGCTACTTCGCCGTTTCTATTATTAATTCCACTCGTTAAAATATTAATCCGTAAAAGAGAGTTAATTTAGCTTTTTATTCCGGTTTTAAGAGCTATTCGTTAGGTAAAAGCCGTATATTAACGATTTAAATCTAAACGAGAAAAAGATGAAAAGTTCACTTTATAAACCGTACTTATAATAGCTAGCCTTATACTAAGGAGCTGATTACGTACTATGCTCTAATGCTAGTTAAGGTTCTAGAATAGATATAGCATATAATGAAAAATAAGATATCTATTATAATCTAATTAGCCTAGATAAATAGCTTACATTATAATATATAAAAATCTTATATTATTATAATTAAACTACGTTTTTTATAATTGCTTTTTTATAAACTATATTAATTCTTTCTTTATATTCATTAATCTTAACTATTATTACATTTTTAAATCTTGTTTCACTGTGCATAATTATTTTAAGAAACGGGCCCTTTTACTATGAACTCATTTTAAGAAACTATTACTATATACATTTTGCAGTGTTCCGTGCAGTGTAGTACTAGTCTTGTTGGCATCTCCCCCGTCTTCCTAACGTCCGACTCCATACACGTACTTTGTGTATTGCTGCACTACCTCCTACTGATTCACTGGTGTCGCTGACGATGGGCCACCTAAGTAACGACGAGGCGCGCATTTATACCATCATGATATCCTCTCGATTCCACCGCCGACGCTGACTAACCGTGCACAGTTTTTCGTTCGGCTCTCTGAGCTCTTCGACTACAGGAAAGGCAAAGACCACGGCTCCATAACCCTGGTGCAAAAACGACGTACGACCTCTCTCTATTGTCTCAACCCCGCCGCCACCTGCCTAACCCGTCATCCTCTAGTCTCATACGATCACCCTCTGCCAGACGCAACGGGCGATGCCGTCTTCCCCGATCTGCACTCCTCGAGACCTATGCCCATCCTCGTCAGGGCGACAAATTCCAAAGGCAAGGAGCGGCGCCGAGATAGGATCAAGCTGTCGACGGTAGTTGAGCCTGCCTGCCTCCCTGTCTTCTTTGACAAGTACGCCGAGGTATGCAAATCCGGAATGACGACCTTGAAGCCTAGGGATCGGAGCAAGAGGAAAGGGAAGGCGAAAAAGAGACGGGGGGCATCTACAATCCCCGGTCCCTGACTGTCTGGTCAGACCTGTAATCCTCATCGGCTATCGACTCGTCCGACCCCCCCCCCTACGGTCTAGCTCTTCCCTCAGTATAAGTCTCGGTCCTGGGAGTACATTGGATACTGTGGTTCCGCCTCTGCGTAACGCATCGCCCGAATCCTTCCACCACGGTAGCATATAGAGGTCTGACAGTTAAGAACATCGCTATAGCACCGCTGTGCATTGTCCATCTATCGTCATGAGATACCCCTCTTGTAGGAAGCTCGATCGCACCCCTGTCTACGCACAACACATCCCCAATAGCTACAACCGATAGATGAGGTTGGCCACACGCGCTGTCTCTGGAGCACGATTGCAATAGTGTCAACATCCTCCCACCGAAGCCCCCTCTCCCGTCTATTCTTGTAGTAGTAGCTAAGGGCGCATCCGGCGTCCTCTTCTATATAGCGGGTGAAGGAATGAAATGCCTGCTGACTAGCTCCGCCAGTCGTAATTTTGTAGTCGCTCCCGTCATCCTCTCTTAGATACATCTTCCACTGGCCCGTGACATTAGCTTCTCATTCTCTCCTGTGTGGATCGCCTACGTACATAGACAGGCTGCCTGGGCGCCGGCTGGCCAGGCCCTAGTTCCTACAAACGATAAGCTCCTGGTGCGCCGACCACATCCACTTGCCGGCAATACATTTTTGCCGGTGCAGTTCCGCACCTCGTCTCCGTCAAGACCGCCGCGACGGCGGAAGAGAGCATCCCCGACTTGACGCGTGGGTCGACCGCATCTTAGAAAACCTATACGAAGGAGTTAAAATCGTAACTGTGAGCCGAAAGTCAACCTCAACCTTCACCCATTAAGGGGTGACCTTAGGCACTATGGCGATTCCGGAGGTCGGGAGCGTTAAACCGCGCGGGGCGAGCAGGTCAGTGTGTTCTTGTTTAGCCAGTCACTGTCGACGTAGCCGTCGACATCAATACCACGAGCGGGGAGGAGAGGTTCAGTATAAATGTGCGATTATATAGCACTCGAACCGCACTCGTATCTTCCCGGGCGTAGGGCTTAGGACCCGCTATTCACGTCCGTGTTCGGGTATTTTGTGCAGGGAATATTTTCTTTCAGGGTGTTGAGAGCTAACCTAGGCAATCTTCCCTCTTTCTCACACCCCCCCTGCAAATTTCCGGTAGGCAATGGTGGCATCTAGATTCTAGCTACTTTCTTTCGCTTGGTAGGTCTTGATAACATTCCCGCATTCCGTGAGCGTCGAGCCCATCCTTTGCCGCCTAGTCACGCATGTAAAAACTTGTAAATCCAGTCCGCTGACAGGAATATGCCACACTCTGTCGCGCAACCGGCACGCCCAGTCGGTCCTGTGGGCCTCTCTCACTCAACGTCTTGTCCGCTGCTGCCCCCAGATACGACCAGACCAGGCCAGCCACCCCGCCGGGAAAAAAACATAATGCTATTTCGTTTTGAGTACAATCTAATTTTGGAGCATCTCGAGTTTTCCCTTGTCCCTACACGACGTCGCCAGCATCATAGCCGCCACCTATGTGAGAAATACCGTAAGAGAGAAAGAAAAAGACCTTTTTGTTGTATCTCTGCTCTTTCGAATGTTGATTGTCCACCACTTACTAGAAATGGGTCCTGTCCTGCGTGTAAATGTTATTCGTAGCGAAGACTGCCGAGGGCGATGTGGGCCCTGATCCCTAGCTATGACTTTCCTGTCGACTCTCCGAGTTGTCGCTCGTGCCAGAAGGGAATAAATGTGAAGAGAAGGGAGCGATTACGGGGAATAAAGAGAAGAGAAGCAAATACTACACAAGTGCGCCATAAGTATGGACGCGACCTGCCAGTCCCACCCGACCCAACCGTCAGAGAAGGCCACTCATACACCATGCGGAAAACTGTACGTGGACGGAAAACTTTTTTCTTTTTTTTTGGTGGGGGGATTGGGCGTGAGGGTGGGGATGGTGACGCTGAGAGACGAGTCGCCGTATGGAGGTAACGACCAGGGATGAGACTGTGGAAAGCTTCATCCTGGGGGAGGCCCTGGAAGGGGCCGAGGAAGACAACCTCGTCTCTACATAATCTGATCTTGGGTTAGACCGCCGTGCGCATCGGTTTCCATGCTGTCGCCTCCGCCTGGTATTAGGTACTTGACGAAGCTCAGTCCGAGGGGTCGTCCTCCGTAGTGGTAGCCCTGAAATTTCGAAATTGCAGTTTCCGCAGTCGTGGTGCTGTCGAAGCGAACCACGCCGGTTCCTCGAGATCGACCGCTAGGCTCATATTGGATCTCGGCCTGCTCAACTTTCCCAATGGTGGTGAAGAGCTCGACCAGGTCCTCGTTACTCGTCGACCAAGGAAGCTAGAAGTGAGGGCGGCTGTTAGTGACAATTTACGTTACCCGAAACACGACGGATTTCAACGCAGCCTCACATTTCGGACGTGGATTATTTCGCTTGGCTCGGTCCCCGCAGTAGCGAAATCGGTGAACGAGTTCGGGGCCGCTGGGGTGGAACTGGCGGCATCGTACCCACCAGCGGGCCCACCACTACCGTAGCCTCCGCGGGCTCCATAACCACTGCCGAAGCCGCCTCGGCTACCGCCGAAGGCACCCCTGCCGCTACCGTATGAGCCGGCGAACCCCCCGCGCCCCCCGAAGCCGCCTCGACCGTATCCACCAACACCTTGGTGGGCAAATCGGTCCTCACGAACTTCGAGCATACGGCCTTGCCATTCAAAGCCGTTGAATTGCTGGATGGCGTTTCGCGTGTCGTCAGGATGCTCAAACATGACAATTCCGGAACCTTTAGGTCTGCCGTCTGGGCCGAGATGAACGTCGGCTCGGATCACCTGACCGTTTCGAGCTGCGATGGCGCTCTGTCAGTATTTTTGTGTAACCCCGACGGGTGCTCGGCTCTGAGGAACGGGTTGCGAACTAACCTGCTTGTCGGAATAGGTCCTTGAGATCTTGCCAGCCTACCGTGTACGGGAGCTGTAGGTAAAACCAGTCAACACTGACACCCGTAACGGCGTGAGAAATTGAAAAGGGTGGGAATGAACAAACGTTAGAGACGTAGATTTGGCGATTGCCGCCTGTCATAGGAGCACCCGCAGCACCGACGCCGTAGCCGCCTCCGCCGTAGCCTGCCTGCATTCCGGGGCCGCCGCCGCCGCCGCCGCCGCCGCCGCCAGCACCACCACCGCCTCCTCCGGCGGAGCCGGCGTAACCGCCGCGGCCTCCGGTTGCACCAATGAATCGTGGTTCCGCTTCGCGATCCTAATACCCGGCTTAGCATCCGCCATAACCGTAGCAGTACCAGGTGACGCTCTTACCTCACGAACGTAGACAAGACGACCCATCAGATTCTGATTGCTGAGAGTTTGGACAGCCGCCTGTGCTTGTTCCCTCGTAGCATACTCCACAATTCTGGCTCAGCTGTTAGCACGCGTTCCCTGGACACCCTCGGGCAAAGGGGGAGTGCATTCTGCTTACCCGCATCCCTACAAAAAACCCGCGGACAGCGTCCCAACCCGTCAATCCATCAATTCCATCAAGAGCCAGAGGAGGAGGAGCCAAAAGAGAAAACCAGCCATGAATCACGTGTAGTAGCCCACCTTCGACATTCCGTTCGGAAGCAGTAAAACGTCGGCGAAGAGAACCTCTCCAGCTGCGCAGCACATTTCCTTATTAGCTTCGATGCCCCCCAGTCCGTAAGCGCCTCCGTCCGAGCCAGGGGTTTACCAACCCTGTCGCATGAAATCCTTAAGATGGTGCCATTTCACATCATATGATAGATTGCCGACATAGACGCGGCGATCCTGTTGGGATGTCTCGCGAATGTTATTCATCATCTGTTCCCGTGCTGCAGCACGCTCCTCGTAAGAGCGCTGTGGCGGTCCACCGAAGCCCGAGCCTGTTCCTCCAACTGGTGCCCCAGCTCCAGTCATGGGAGATCGGGACCGTCTGTCCGACCTACGATAATCGTCCCGGCTCCGAGACCGGCTACGTGGCGAATAGGAACGACGGCGACCCAAGCGACCTGGACTCCTCGAACGGCCACGTCGGGGAGAACGAGATCTCTCGCGCTGCGAATCGTCAGCATCTGGGGGGCGCATAGAGGACATTGGAAGCCGAAGGTGGCTCTCAAGGTACCAAGGGCGAATCGCGAGGGGAGGCGGGAAGGGAAGGGGGGGGAGACGTCGCGGTAGGTAAGCGGTCCTTTCCCGACGTTTTCCACCAAGGCAAACACAATGGAAACGGACAGAAAAGTAGAGACTATTAGGCGGAGGAGCTGCGAAAGAACTGGATGAGTGGGGAGAGGAAGTGCGAGGCTGCGACTCGCACCCAAGCGTTGTATGTAATCGCTCACCACAACGGCCAACTTTATATATATACATATACATATACATATATATATATATATGCTCTAGACGGGGCCAGTTTCACCCGGGCACCCCCCCTCCCTAGCCCCGAAGTTAAAAACGAAAAAAAATAAAAGGATTGACGGGGAAGAGGCCGTCAGGGAGAGCAGCGGCCCTGGCCAACACGCAGGTAGACCGGCTTTAAAGTTCCGCCGCCGGCCAGAGCAACTGGCGAGTTACCTTGTGTCGAGCGGCGACGAGTGGAGTGGACGAAGAAACAAGTAGCGAGGTGGGATGCTATGCATACGGATAGACGACGGGGCCGCGGAACCGAGCGCGATATAGTAGAAGCCATTCCCCACTTACAGGACGATAGTTGTCTCCAGAGTCAGCTGTCAGAGGTATCGCAAGTTAGAAATCCGATCCCGAAGCAGGGTTCAATGGACGGTGGGAGAAGGGGGCAGCAGATCAAGTTATTGAGATAGGAGAGCCAGCTTTGGACAGGTAACTATGCCAATTTGGCGGGCCGTAGTTGCATACGGGGATGCTCGAGGATGCCAGACCGTTAGTGGACCGGGAAGGGGGAAAGCGTCCAGGGACGGGGAGTGGGGAGGGAAGCGCGGCGTATTAAAGGGTTCGGGAACGGCACAGAGGGGAGGGAGGCAGGCGATAGGATGACTGGTGGTGTGAGTCGAGTAGAAGAGTTAGGGGGACAAAGTGTGTGATTGGGTGCTGGCGGGAGGAGGAGAAGGGGGGGGGGGGGGGAGGACGGCAACGAGACGGGCAACGGGCGGTTACGAAGACCAAGGAGGTAAGTCAGCCCGTAGGCAAATAACACAGGACAAGAGGTATCGAGTAAGTAGACTCGAGGAGGGGGGTGAGAGTTGTTACACGTCGCAGAGGCATTTGTTTTAGGCCTCTACACGGGGATTGGTGGGAAGGGCACACCGTGAACAGGTAGCCAGGACAAAGATCTGATTTGGCAGCCGGGTGCGCATGCGAGCGCAGGAGCAGGTAGGCCATGTAGGAGATATGTACGCACGCATGTACGTGGGCACGGATGCGTCGTGTAGGTAGCATGTACGTATGTACGCATGTACGCATGTACGCACGCATGTACGAGGTGGGATACACATAGGCACGTAGCGCGGGAAGTGGATAGGTTTAGTAGGTATAGAGAGTGGAAGAGAAGGGCGGGCGACGGCAGCGGGCGACGGACGAGGCAACGCAGACGGAGAGTCGCGGATGTAGGCGCGCAGTCGGGCAGGCCGGCCGGCCACCTTTGGGCAGAGCAAGCAGGACCGACGAGGGTAGAGAGACGAGGATAGAGAAAAAGAGAGATAGAGATAGATAGAGAGAGAGATAGAGAGAGAGAGAGAGAGAGATGGAAAGAAAAAGAGACGTCGCGGGCCGGGACGGGGACAGGAGAGGAGGAGGAGGTTATCGCCGGCGAAGTAGCAGCGCGACGGTGGTGGCAGGCAGGCAGGCAGGTAGGTAGGTCGGTAGGTAGGTAGGGGGAGTGGTGCGGACTTACCCATGGCCGGATATGCTGGACGACTTGGTGAAGCTTAGCCGCCTTGTCTCTAAAACCCAGAAGTCCCCTCCTTCTCCGACCGCGATGTACCGACGAGAGAGCGCGCTGGTTGATGGGGGTAGGAAGTAAACCTGTATTGGAGGGGTGAGCCTTTGTGGTGACAAGGAGTGCGTGTCGAAAATTTTCGGGGGTGGTTAGACAGCGTGGATTCGGTAGGCTCTCTCTCACTCTCTCTGGCTGGGTGAGAAAGGGACGGTAGGGACAGCGAGAGGGACACAAAAGAGAATAAACAACGAGAATAATAACAATAAAAACAAATCGAGAAGGAGGGAAGGGGGGAAGATACGGCACTACGGGCTGGATCGATAGGCAGGAGTCAGCACGGAGCGCGTTTCCCTCCTGGTACCTACGCCACAGAAACATGGGAGAGAGGTACACCACGACGAACGGGAACGGCCTAGGCGAGGGAGAAAGGGGGGGGGGGCTATATGTTGGTAGGGAGGTAGCAACGCTCAAGTCGTGTATGTGTAATGTACATACGCGCCGTAGGTAGGGAGGTACCTAATGTATACGGGTTGGCCAACAACAACATGCAGGGGATCGCAATGGGACAGAAGGGGGGGGGAGGACGAAGGGGGAAAAAAAAAAGTAGCACCGACGCCGCTCGCAGACGGTGGCGTAACCCCGACACGCACATAATACACACACACACACACCCAGATATACGTACACACAGTACACACGTACGTATATACACACATACGCATACGCACGCACACACACCTCACAACCCGCGAGCGAGCGAGCGCGCACACACCAAACGAGACAGGCAACACTGTACCATCGACCGGTGGACGCGCCGGGTCGTCGTATCCACTCCGTACCAGACAAGGCTCCGGCGTGCAAACGTATTATTTCCAGCGAAGAACCTGCTTGAAGCTTACCTCCGGTACCTCTCTGTCTCCCCCCTCGCGCCGACGCTCCCTCGCCTCTTCGCCTCTTCGCCCGTTGCGGCGATGCTAGCCCTGCTGCAAGGCAAAGAGAAAGCCTGCGTTGAATAGCGTCTGCCGGTGAGCAGCAGCACGACAGGTCGCCGGACACAATTGGGGGAGAGAGGGGGAAGGAGAGGGCGCCGGCTAATGTGAAACTTTTGCTTATTTGGGCAAAGGAAAAAGGAAAGAAAACCGAAACGCGCTCGAGAGTAGCGATTAAGAAGCAATTTGGGGTAGAGGATGCATATGCAAGCCAGACGGTTGGCGGCTTTTCATACGTACGTACCTGAACGCGAGATTCCTGATGCTGCAGGAGAAGCATGCCCATCCCCAAATACCAAGAAGAATGGGGGAGAAAGGAGGGGGGTGTGCTTCTGCTAGTCCGCTCTCTGTTGATCCTACAATACCAATCAATCAATCAATAACTAGAATTAAAAGCTTGAGATGTTAAATCGAATAAAACACGGTTATACGAAGAGAGATAAATAAAAGTTAAAACAATAAGTTAGAACTCTGATTTTAATGAATTTAATTATAAGAAAATTATTTAAATTAAGTAAAAATATTTAAATTATTATAAATTTTGAAAGTGTTATATAGATTAAACTAAAGCGACGTTGAGTATAATAAGTTATACGTAAAGAGTAATAAAATATAAGTAAATAATATATTAAAAAGAAATAGAATAGGTATATTATATAAGATAGTATATAATAAACTAGTATAGTAATCTAGTAAGACATACTCTCTTAGTGTATTACGTAATATATTTAATAGACTATGTCTACTTAGAGAACTTTGGTTAATATAATATCAGAGTACGTAACTGCTCTTTCTGTATGTAGCTAGCTCTTAAAGGCCCAGCCTTAATAGAGTGTAACTTTTTTCTTTTTTCTATTTATAGAGTTTTATTTTTTTAATATATATTCTTTTACTAAGCAAATAATATTTAAATATCATTAGCTATGCCTAGTTATAAGACCCTGGCTAGCGCTAGGGCATAGTACGTAATTACCCTCTCAGAACCCATAGAAGACAAGGTCAGTAGTTATAGTAAGAAGGAGCAGAGCATACGCAATACTAGAATCCCGTATAGCTTATATAAAAGTATGCTTTATCGGTAACTACAATACGTATGAGAATTTAAAATAGATAAAATTAATATTACTTTATTAATCGGTAGGTAAGGAATTTAATATAGTTATCATATTTTAAATTTATCTTTTAGTTATAAAGATATAGTAGTGGCTAGCTTTAAGGTAAAAGAGATAAAGAGAAAAAAGAAGCTAAACGTAAAAGTTATTTATTTAATTATTATAATACGACGAAGTAGTTAAAGCGTTCGTAATTAAAATAAATATATAAATCAAAATATAATAAATATAATAATAAAGCTGAATCTTAAATTAAAATGAAATTACTAAAGTTAATAATTTAATTAAGTAATAATTATAATATAATCCGTACTTACGAAAGCTATAATTACTTTATATTAAGAAGGAGCAGAGCGTACGTGATACTAGAGTCCCGGATAGGTTCACTCGAAAGTATACTCTATCAAAGACTATAGCACGTACGATAGTCTGAGATAAATGAAACTAATATTACTATATTAATCGAGAGACGAGGAATCTAATATAGTTATTATATCTTAGCTATGCCCCTTAGTCGTATAGATGTAATAATCGCTAGCCCGAAGGTATAAAAAGTAAGGAGAGTAAAGGGGTAAAACGTAAAAGTTACTTATTCGGCTATAGCGGTACGACAAAGTAACTTAAGCGCTTATAACTAAAATAAATATACTAATCGAAAAACGACGAATCTAATAATAAAAACGAATCTTTAATTAACGTAAAAATAATAAAGATAATAATCTAATTAGGTAGTAAATTCGATAATAAATATAACATAGCTCGTACTTACGGGAACTATAGTTACTCTATATAAGTATGAGGCCTATCGTAATATATTACGTAATATATTAAAAGAATATGTCTTATCGTATTACTATAGCCTCCTTAGTTTAATTATACCGTAAGAAATAATTAAATTAAAAAGAATAATACGATATATCTAGATTAATATCTCTTTTTAAAAACTACCGCGAAACTTTATTCCTTCGGTTATTATCTAACTACTAAAGTCGCGCTTTTAGTTTATCGTTTAATATAATAAAGGGGCCCTTTTATTATTTTATAATTAACTTAGCTTAGTTTATCCTTACCGATCTAACCCAATCGACGTATTCTTTCTTTATTTCGGTTACCTTTTTTTTAGTCTCGGTTTATTCCTTTTAGTTAAGGGAATAATAAGGAAGCGGGCGCGTTTCGAGGGTCGATTAGGTATCTTCTCTCTACCTATACGGTATAAAGATTTCCTCAGATTAAAAAGCTTTAATCCTTACTAGGCCGGGGGGAGGAAAGGAACGGGTCGTAACCTTAACGAGGTCGTTGTAGCGGAAGTCTACGTCCGCTAATACTGAACAGGAGCAGCGTGGGCACGCTAACGGAGGCACGAAACAAGGACTGCCCAACTGCCAACAACTGGCCCAGTGCCGATCAACCAAGATTACAGCTATAAACAGCTGTAATCGGTTGATCGGCCAGCTGAAACGGCAGCTAGGAAAGGGGAAGAAAGGGAAGACTAGAAACAGGTAAAGGAGGATAGCTAGAAAGGCATGGCAAGAAACGAGTGAATAGCTGTAGGTCGTGATAGATACAGGTCTAAGTCTAACTGATGAAAATATGAGTGCGCGACCCATATAAATAGACATCGAAAAGGCTACGTGGCCTAGATCCACCGCACCACTACAATACGAGGGAACGGGAGGGATTAAAGTACTAAAGCTACAGAAAAACGGCGGACCTTAACTTACGGAGGATTTACGGCTAAGGAGCTCGCCGATCGGCGTACTTTAGGCCGAGGCCATAGCGTTAATAAGGTCGAATCGCTTCTAGTAATTTACGGCTTACCGGAAACGCTTAACGATACTAACCCCTTCCTTTAGAACCCGAACGCTATAAAATTACTTTATTAATTTAGCGTATTTCCTTATTATATTCAAAAAATTAAACCCTTTATTTTCTTAGGTTTATCGGGCGACCTCGATCGGTTATTTAAAGATAAAATACGATAGAATACCGCTCTAAAAACCGTAACTATAGCTATCTTATTAATTTATTAGCGCGACGTAATAAGTAGATTAAGAGGTTATAACGGGCTCGAGGCTACCGTCTTTCTAGGCTCGCCGTAACTAACCAAGCACGTACGCTGCCTAATCGAAGGCGCCGTTCCTAACTATATTAAAGCTAAATAATCTCCGGAGCTTAGGAAGGTATAGCGCTATAACAAAGTAGGCCTAAAAGAACTCCTCGGGATTAATAATAACTCGTTCGGGGTTTATTAGATCTATATAAATCGTAAAAACTAAAATAAACGTAAGGTTATCGAAGAGGTATTAGCGAGTTAAGAAGTTAAACAATCTTATCGATCGGTAGCTTATCGTTTAATACGGATCTACTTCGAAGGCCGCTTTCCTACCTTCGAGGTCGTAGCTTATTATGATATAAAAAGTACGGATATCTTCGTTAATAAGGTAGGCGTAGCGGGCGAGGTATACGAAAGAGTTAGTTAGAACTACCCTCGTTTACTCCTATTACTACTAATTTATAGTTCGAGGCCGGTTAGCGGATAGCCGGAAGGCCTAGGCTATATCGGATCTTAATTCGATTTAGCCTTTCCCCGAATCGTAATTATCTAAAGTACTAAGCTAATACTTCTCTATATTACTTTATTTATCTTCGCTATCGTAAATCTTCCATAGGAGTTCTATTAAGTCGGCTAAATCGGTACGACGTACGTCTCTATAGATAGAGGGAAGGGAGAAGGAGAGGGGGATTCCGCCGGAACGGAAGGACGATATCGTAAAAATAAAAAAAAAGAATTAAAGGAAGGGGAAAAAAAGATAGTAAGTTAAAGGTAAAAATAAGAATTTAAATTAATAATAAGAAAGGCTGGCTAAAGATTAATAAGAATATAATAATTATAAGGAAGGAGTTTTCGAAATAAGATACCTAAAGAAGAAAAAGAAAGGAAGAAAGGGAAACGTATTAACGATATAATTAGATATACTTTTACGGTTAACGTTTTAGAAAAGCGCATTCCTCCGTATATGTATAGAACTATAATAAGAAATATATTAACTTATAACTTCTTATTATATTATAGTGGTGCGGTAGATCTAGGCCACGTAGCCTTTTCGATGTCTATTTATATAAGTCGCGCACTTATATTTTCATTAGCCAGACTTAGACCTATAGCTATTACGATAGATATCACGACCTATAGCCATTTACTCGTTTCTTACTATGCCTTTTCTCGCCATCCTCGTTATCCGTTTCTAGTCTCTCCCTCTTCCTTTCCTAGCTACCGTTTTTAGCTAGCCGATTAACCGATTATAGCTATTTATAGCTATAATCTTA